AAAAAAAAAAAAAAAAAGATCCTATATAAAATAAATTGTTATTTCTCGACGCATGAAGTGTGCATGCATGTACCTCTTCCTAAAGAAAGAAACTCGTGCAGGGAAAAAAAAATGATTTTAAGATGGTACGAACCATAACTATTAAAAATACTTCATTAAAATTCATTTGTAAATAATTTGGAGGTTTTCATTTAAAGAGAAGTCCTAAGGTAACATAAATTTCCAATCTCTTTCTTTCTTTTATCTTTTTTTTTTTAAATAAAATAAAACAAAATTACCCGTTGAAGGTATAGGCAAGCCCCGTGCGCGATGTGCACGTCGACCCCTCTACCATCCAATGTGGTGTAGCTACTGACGAGAAGGGGCCTAGCGAGTTTGATGCTCATGTCCCGAGCGAACGTGACCCAAACTTTTCCCCTAACGCTTGTCATCGCGTGTCTCAATGTCCCGGGCCTCGGGTTCAACGGGTCGTCGCTCGGGTCCGTGACCTTGTAATTTGTCACGGCTCGGCCAATGTTGTTTGTCATCTTCCCAGAGTACCCGACCGAGCAGGTCGCCAGCTGGTGGCGATTGCGCCGCCAGCTGGGGTTCGTCCGCCAGCACCGGTCGATCACGTTCATGTTGATAGGTTTGTGGGCCTTTGTGCGCCCTAGAATTGTTAGGATGGCTATTGATATAGCCCAAAGGAGGCAACAAGCCCTCTTGAGAGCCATGATTCAGAGATTAATTTCTTGATTATGTCAAGAATTATATGTAGATAATAGAAAAGGAAAAGTATTTAAGTGTTGGTGAGGAATAAAAGGAGGTGGCGAGCACGAGAATGGAGTTGAGATGGGGTTTTTATATATGCATGCAAAAACAACTAACTGGTTTTAAATGTGGGGTTGAGATAGTTTTAGATGAATATATAAGGTGGTTCAAATGAGCGGACAATTTATTTTTATTATTATTTTTTTTTTAATCGTTGAGCCATAAATTTTTGCTCCAAATTTTTATTATTGATATGTTTTTCAACTGTTTAATTAGTAATTGTTTCTGTAATGGACAAATTTTGTCAATTGCAAATGTTGGGAAAAATACGTTGAAATTTCCATGAAGCCGGATCTATAAAAAATGAAATAAAAATAAAATTTGGACACACCAAATTGATAACGGAGTTCGGCCAATAATGCCTACGTCTCCGGACTACTGCAGATATTTTATTGGGAAAAAGAAATACACTCGTGTTTACAAAACACTCTCAAAATCACTCACAACTCACAACACAAATACACACAGAAGCTAAATCTTTTATTAGCTCTTCCTCTCTCTCTGTTTCTCTTGTATTTTGTTGTTGTTTTAGTGTGTATTAAGCATCAGATTTGCTTCTCTATTTATAGGGGAAGAATGCAATGTGAATTGCACACAATTGTCAAAAACCAACACCTTGCATGTGTTTAATGCTTGGTCAAATTATTGCACCTTTACCTAACAAACACGTGCTGCTAGTTGTCTTCCTTTTGCAGCTGACAGAAATAGTGGGCAGCAGCCCCTTTTTGATTTCACAATCTCCCACTTGATGACTGATTTCAATCTGTGCTCACACCTCAATTACTGCAGTAGTCTTCTCCGGTCTGTTACTCTAGCAGGCCAACTGAAGTTGAGCACAACTTCAGTTTGTCAATGGTCACCACCTTCGTTAGCATATCTGCTGGGTTCTTGCTTCCTACAATCTTCTTCAAAGTCAATACTTCATCCTCAAGTAGAGATCTGATGAAATGATATCGTATGTCAATGTGCTTAGTTCTGGAGTGAAACGCTGAGTTCTTTGCCAGATGTATTGCACTCTGACTGTCACTCTGCAAGACACTCTCTTTTTGAGTGAAACCCAACTCTGCTAACAATCCTTGAAGCCATATCAATTCTTTACTGGCTTCTGTCACTGCTACATACTCAGCTTCTGTAGTGGAT